ACACTCACACACAGCGTGGCACGGGACTTGGATTTCACTCACGCTCCTTCGAATAGTGAGCGGCTCGCTCACACACACTCATACACACTTACACACACACTCACACATACACACACTAACACACACATACACACACTCACACACACACACTCACACACACTCACACACAGCGTGGCACGGGACTTGGATTTCACTCACGCTCCTTCGAATAGTGAGCGGCTCGCTCACACACACTCATACACACTTACACACACACTCACACATACACACACTAACACACACATACACACACTCATACAGACACTCACACACACACTCACACACACTCACTCACACACACACTCAAACATACACACACTCATACACTCACACACACATACACACACTCACACACACACTCATACACACACTCACACACTCACACACACACATACACACTCACACACTCACACACACACTCACACACACTCAAACATACACACACTCACACACACACACCCTCACACACTCACTCACACACTCACTCACACACTCACACACACTCACATACACACTCACACATACACACATACACACACTCACACATACACTCATACACTCACATACACATACACACACTCACACACACTCACATACACACACTCACACACAGCGTGGCACGGGACTTGGATTTCACTCACGCTCCTTCGAATAGTGAGCGGCTCACTCACACACACTCATACACACATACACACTCACATACACACACACTCACACACTCACATACATACACACACACACACACTCATACACTCACACACACACTCACACACTCACACACACTCACACACATACACACACTCACACACACACACTCACACACACACTCACACATACACTCATACACACACTCATACACACTCACACACAGCGTGGCACGGGACTTGGATTTCACTCACGCTCCTTTGAATAGTGAGCGGCTCGCACACACTCACTCATACACACACTCACTCATACACACACTCACTCATACACACTCACTCACACACTCACACACACTCACACACACTCACACACACTCACACACTCACACACAGCGTGGCACGGGACTTGGATTTCACTCACGCTCCTTCGAATAGTGAGCGGCTCACTCACACTCATACATACACACATACACACATACACACGCACACACACTCACTCACACATTCACACACTCACACATACACACACTCACACACACACTCACTCACTCACACACTCACACACACACTCACACACTCACACACTCACACACACTCACACACAGCGTGGCACGGGACTTGGATTTCACTCACGCTCCTTCGAATAGTGAGGGGCATGCTCACACATATACATACATACACACTCACATACACACACTCACACATACACACACACATACACACATACACTCACACACACACACATTCACACACACACACACTCACACACACACTCTCACTCACACACTCACACACACACTCACACACACTCACATACACTCACACACACACTCACACACACACATACACTCACACACACTCACACACACACATTCACACACACACTCACACATACACACTCACACACTCACACACACACATACACACTCACACACTCACATACACACTCACACACTCACACACACACACACTCACACACACACACTCACATACAGCGTGGCACGGGACTTGGATTTCACTCACGCTCCTTCGAATAGTGAGGGGCTCACACACACTCATACATACACACACACTCACACACACTCACACACACTCACACACACTCACACACTCACACACACTCACACACACACATACACTCACACACACTCACATACACACATACACACACACTCACATACACTCATTCACACACACACTCACTCACACTCACACATACACACACTCACACACTCATACACACTCACACACACTCACATACACACTCACACACACACTCACACACACTCACACATTCACACACACACTCACACACAGCGTGGCACGGGACTCGGATTTCACTCACGCTCCTTCGAATAGTGAGCGGCTCGCTCGCACTCACTCATACACACTCACACACACTCACACACACTCACACACACTCACACACACACACACATACTCACACACACACACTCACACACACTCATACACTCACACACCACGTGGTGTGTGTGTGTACCACGTGGTGTGTGTGTACCACGTGGTGTGTGTACCACGTGGTGTGTGTGTGTGTACCACGTGGTGTGTGTACCACGTGGTGTGTGTGTGTGTGTACCACGTGGTGTGTGTGTGTGTGTGTACCACGTGGTGTGTGTGTACCACGTGGTGTGTGTGTAACACGTGGTGTGTGTGTAACACGTGGTGTGTGTGTAACACGTGGTGTGTGTGTAACACGTGGTGTGTGTGTAACACGTGGTGTGTGTGTGTAACACGTGGTGTGTGTGTGTGTGTGTACCACGTGGTGTGTGTGTGTGTGTGTACCACGTGGTGTGTGTGTGTGTACCACGTGGTGTGTGTGTGTGTACCACGTGGTGTGTGTGTGTATCACGTGGTGTGTGTGTGTGTATCACGTGGGTGTGTGTGTGTGTATCACGTGGGTGTGTGTGTGTATCACGTGGGTGTGTGTGTACCACGTGGTGTGTGTGTGTACCACGTGGTGTGTGTGTGTGTAACACGTGGTGTGTGTGTACCACGTGGTGTGTGTGTAACACGTGGTGTGTGTGTGTAACACGTGGTGTGTGTGTGTAACACGTGGGGTGTGTGTGTGTGTGTAACACGTGGTGTGTGTGTACCACGTGGTGTGTGTGTATCACGTGGTGTGTGTGTATCACGTGGTGTGTGTGTGTAACACGTGGTGTGTGTGTGTAACACGTGGTGTGTGTGTGTAACACGTGGTGTGTGTGTAACACGTGGTGTGTGTGTGTAACACGTGGTGTGTGTGTGTGTATCACGTGGTGTGTGTGTGTGTATCACGTGGTGTGTGTGTGTGTATCACGTGGTGTGTGTGTGTGTAACACGTGGTGTGTGTGTGTGTAACACGTGGTGTGTGTGTGTGTAACACGTGGTGTGTGTGTGTGTACCACGTGGTGTGTGTGTACCACGTGGTGTGTGTGTACCACGTGGTGTGTGTGTACCACGTGGTGTGTGTGTGTGTACCACGTGGTGTGTGTGTGTAACACGTGGTGTGTGTGTGTGTACCACGTGGTGTGTGTGTAACACGTGGTGTGTGTGTAACACGTGGTGTGTGTGTGTGTGTACCACGTGGTGTGTGTGTACCACGTGGTGTGTGTGTGTGTACCACGTGGTGTGTGTGTAACACGTGGTGTGTGTGTGTGTGTACCACGTGGTGTGTGTGTAACACGTGGTGTGTGTGTAACACGTGGTGTGTGTGTGTAACACGTGGTGTGTGTGTGTATCACGTGGTGTGTGTGTGTATCACGTGGTGTGTGTGTATCACGTGGTGTGTGTGTGTGTGTAACACGTGGTGTGTGTGTAACACGTGGTGTGTGTGTGTACCACGTGGTGTGTGTGTAACACGTGGTGTGTGTGTAACACGTGGTGTGTGTGTAACACGTGGTGTGTGTGTACCACGTGGTGTGTGTGTAACACGTGGTGTGTGTGTAACACGTGGTGTGTGTGTGTACCACGTGGTGTGTGTGTAACACGTGGTGTGTGTGTAACACGTGGTGTGTGTGTAACACGTGGTGTGTGTGTGTATCACGTGGTGTGTGTGTAACACGTGGTGTGTGTGTGTAACACGTGGTGTGTGTGTGTATCACGTGGTGTGTGTGTAACACGTGGTGTGTGTGTGTGTGTAACACGTGGTGTGTGTGTGTGTGTAACACGTGGTGTGTGTGTGTACCACGTGGTGTGTATGTGTAACACGTGGTGTGTGTGTGTAACACGTGGTGTGTGTGTGTGTGTAACACGTGGTGTGTGTGTGTAACACGTGGTGTGTGTGTGTACCACGTGGTGTGTGTGTGTACCACGTGGTGTGTGTGTGTATCACGTGGTGTGTGTGTGTATCACGTGGTGTGTGTGTAACACGTGGTGTGTGTGTATCACGTGGTGTGTGTGTGTATCACGTGGTGTGTGTGTGTGTGTGTAACACGTGGTGTGTGTGTGTACCACGTGGTGTGTGTGTACCACGTGGTGTGTGTGTATCACGTGGTGTGTGTGTTTGTGTAACACGTGGTGTGTGTGTGTGTGTAACACGTGGTGTGTGTGTAACACGTGGTGTGTGTGTGTGTAACACGTGGTGTGTGTGTGTGTAACACGTGGTGTGTGTGTGTGTAACACGTGGTGTGTGGGTGTGTGTATCACGTGGTGTGTGTGTGTAACACGTGGTGTGTGTGTGTGTAACACGTGGTGTGTGTGTGTAACACGTGGTGTGTGTGTGTATCACGTGGTGTGTGTGTGTATCACGTGGTGTGTGTGTAACATGGTGTGTGTGTATCACGTGGTGTGTGTGTGTGTGTAACGTGGTGTGTGTGTAACATGGTGTGTGTGTGTGTAACGTGGTGTGTGTGTAATGTGGTGTGTGTGTAACACGTGGTGTGTGTGTAACACGTGGTGTGTGTGTGTAACACGTGGTGTGTGTGTGTAACACGTGGTGTGTGTGTGTAACACGTGGTGTGTGTGTGTGTGTAACACGTGGTGTGTGTGTAACACGTGGTGTGTGTGTGTACCACGTGGTGTGTGTGTAACACGTGGTGTGTGTGTAACACGTGGTGTGTGTGTAACACGTGGTGTGTGTGTGTATCACGTGGTGTGTGTGTATCACGTGGTGTGTGTGTGTATCACGTGGTGTGTGTGTGTATCACGTGGTGTGTGTGTAACACGTGGTGTGTGTGTCTCTCTGTGTCCACCACAGCTGAGAGCTCCAACGCTTGGAACGGACTCCACCACCTCCCTCGTCACAAATCAGCCCTGTGTCTCTCTGTCTCACTCTGTCTCACTCTCTCTGTCTCACTCTGTCTCACTCTGTGTCTCTCTGTCTCTGTCTCACTCTGTCTCACTCTCTCTGTCTCACTCTGTCTCACTCTGTCTCACTCTGTGTCTCTCTGTCTCACTCTGTCTCACTCTGTGTCTCTCTGTCTCACTCTGTCTCACTCTGTGTGTCTCTGTCTCACTCTGTCTCACTCTCTCTGTCTCACTCTGTGTGTCTCTGTCCCTCTCTGTCTCACTCTGTCTCACTCTGTGTCTCTCTGTCTCTGTCTCACTCTGTCTCACTCTGTGTGTCTCTGTCTCACTCTGTGTGTCTCTGTCTCACTCTGTCTCACTCTCTCTGTCTCACTCTGTGTGTCTCTGTCCCTCTCTGTCTCACTCTGTCTCACTCTGTGTCTCTCTGTCTCTGTCTCACTCTGTCTCACTCTGTGTGTCTCTGTCTCTCTCTGTCTCACTCTCTATCACTCTGTCTCACTCTGTGTGTCTCTGTCTCTCTCTGTCTCTCTGTCTCACTCTGTGTCTCTCTGTCTCTCTCTCTGTCTCATTCTGTTTCACTCTGTGTCTCTCACTGTCTCACTCTGTCTCTCTCTGTCTCTCTGTCTCTCTCTGTCTCACTGTATTTGTCTCATTCTGTCTCTCTCTGTCTCTCTCTGTGTCTCTCACTGTCTCACTCTGTCTCACTGTCTTTGTCTCATTCTGTCTCACTCTGTCTCACTCTGTCTCTCTCTGTCTCTCTCTGTCTCTCTCTGTCTCTCTCTGTCTCTCACTGTCTCACTCTGTCTCACTGTCTTTGTCTCATTCTGTCTCATTCTGTCTCACTCTGTCTCACTCTGTCTCACTCTGTCTCTCTCTGTCTCTCTCTGTCTCTCTCTGTCTCTCTCTGTCTCTCTCTGTCTCTCTCTGTCTCTCTGTCTCTCTCTGTCTCTCTCTGTCTCACTCTGTGTCTCTCTGTCTCATTCTGTCTCTCTCTGTCTCTCTCTGTCTCTCTCTGTCTCTCTTTGTCTCACTGTCTGTCTCATTCTGTCTCTGCCTCTCTCTGTCTTTGTCTCATTGTCTCACTCTGTCTCACTGTCTCACTGTCTCTGTCTCATTCTGTCTGTCTCTGTCTCACTGTCTCATTCTGTCTCACTCTGTCTCTCTGTCTCATTCTGTCTCTCTCTGTCTCACTGTCTCATTCTGTCTCTCTGTCTAACTCTGTCTCTCTGTCTCACGCCTCACTGTCTCACTGCCACTATGTCTCACTCCTCACTCTGTCTCACTGCCACTCTGTCTCACTCCTCACTCTGTCTCACTCTGTCTCACTCCTCACTTTGTCTCACTCCTCACTTTGTCTCACTCCTCACTCTGTCTCACTCTGTCTCACTCTGTCTCACTCTGTCTCACTGTCTCACTCCTCACTCTGTCTCACTCTGTCTCACTTTGTCTCACTCGGTCTCACTCCTCACTCTGTCTCACTCTGTCTCACTTTGTCTCACTCGGTCTCACTCCTCACTCTGTCTCACTCCGTCTCACTTTGTCTCACTCGGTCTCACTCCTCACTCGGTCTCACTCCTCACTCTGTCTCACTCCTCACTCTGTCTCACTCCTCTGTCTCACTCCTCTTGTCTTCAGGTGGGCGAGTGAATGAGTGGGTGGGTGAATGAGTGAGTGGGTGGGTGAATGAGTGAGTGGGTGGGTGAATGAGTGGGTGGTTGAATGAGTGGGTGGGTGGGTGAATGAGTGAGTGGGTGGGTGAATGAGTGAGTGGGTGGGTGAATGAGTGGGTGGTTGAATGAGTGGGTGGGTGGTTGAATGAGTGAGTGGGTGGGTGAATGAGTGAGTGGGTGGGTGAATGAGTGGGTGGGTGGGTGAATGAGTGGGTGGGTGGGTGAATGAGTGGGTGGGTGAATGAGTGGGTGGGTGAATGAGTGGGTGGGTGGGTGAATGAGTGGGTGGGTGAATGAGTGGGTGGGTGGGTGAATGAGTGGGTGGATGGGTGAATGAGTGGGTGGGTGGATGAATGGGTGGGTGAATGGGTGGGTGGGTGAATTGGTGGGTGGGTGAATAGGTGGGTGGGTGAGTGAATAGGTGGGTGGGTGAGTGAATGGGTGGGTGGATGAATGAGTGAATGGGTGGGTGGATGAATGAATGGGTGGGTGGATGAATGAGTGAATGGGTGGGTGGATGAATGAATGGGTGGGTGGATGAATGAATGGGTGGGTGGATGAATGAGTGGGTGGTTGAATGAGTGGGTGGGTGGGTGAATGAGTGGGTGGGTGGATGAATGGGTGGGTGGGTGGATGAATGGGTGGGTGAATTGGTGGGTGGGTGAGTGAATGGGTGGGTGGATGAATGAGTGAATGGGTGGGTGGATGAATGAATGGGTGGGTGGATGAATGATTGGGTGGTTGAATGAGTGAGTGGGTGGGTGAATTGGTGGGTGGGTGAATTGGTGGGTGGGTGAGTGAATGGGTGGGTGGATGAATGAGTGAATGGGTGGGTGGATGAATGAGTGAATGGGTGGATGAATGAATGGGTGGGTGGGTGGATGAATGAATGGGTGGGTGGGTGGATGAATGAGTGGGTGGTTGAATGAGTGGGTGGGTGGGTGAATGAGTGGGTGGGTGGGTGAATGAGTGGGTGGGTGGAAGAATGGGTGGGTGGGTGAATGAGTGGGTGGGTGGGTGAATGAGTGGGTGGGTGGGTGAATGGGTGGGTGGGTGGGTCAGTGATCGAATGAATGGGTGAGTAGTGAGGTGAGAAGTGAGGTGAGTAGTGGTGAGGTGGGTGGTGAGGGGGTGGTGAGCGGGTGGTGAGGGGGTGGTGAGTTGTTGCGTCATCCTCCTGTTGTCTTCATTACAAATAAACGCGCGGATTTCAACTCCACTACTCAACTCGCTCAGCAGCCTCCTGTCCTGTGGGTGAGTGGGTGGTTGGTTGAGTGAGTGGGTGGTTGGTTGAGTGGGTGGTTGGTTGAGTGAGTGGGTGGTTGGTTGAGTGGGTGGTTGGTTGAGTGGGTGGTTGGGTGAGTGGGTGGGTGGATGTTTGGGTGAGTGGGTGGATGAGTGAGTGGGTGGATAAGTGAGTGAGTGGTTGGGTGAGTGGATGGGTGAGTGAGTGGGTGGTTGGGTGAGTGAGTGCGTGAGTGGTTGGGTGAGTGGGTGGATGAGTGGGCGGGTGGATGAGTGAGTGGGTGGGTGGGTGAATGAGTGGGTGGGTGGATGAGTGAGTGGGTGGGTGGGTGGATGAATGAGTGGGTGGGTGGATGAATGAGTGGGTGGGTGGATGAATGAGTGGGTGGGTGGGTGGATGAGTGAGTGGGTGGGTGGGTGAATGAGTGGGTGGGTGGATGAGTGAGTGCGTGGGTGAATGAGTGGGTGGATGAGTGAGTGGGTGGGTGAGTGGGTGGTTGTGTGGGCGGGTGGATGAGCGAGGCTTAGCACACACACATGGTAGAGGAGACGTCACCACATCGATCTCCATCCAGCAGTGGGTAGACCCTGGCTGAGTTCTTCCAGACGAGGTGTTTCCGTTTTATTGCTACTCTACCGAAATCAGAAGATAGGCAACGTCAATAGGCGTAGTCCATCAATTCCGGTAGATATCTTCTGGAAGACGTGTCCCTGTTTTTGTGGTAGTCTGCGATCGGAAGAGTTGCCTCCGTCATTGGAGACCTCTATTGGTAGAGTCTTCCGAAATCGGATTAAAGTTTCTAGCCAATTTGATGCGTCTACCAATTCCGGTAGATATCTTCCAGAAGTCGTATCGCCGTTTTATTGCGACGACGCTCCCCCACTCCCATTCCATCTTCCTCTTCCGGAAGGGGTGGAGACTGCTTCGCCGTCATGGCGGAGCTGTGACGACTCCCGCCGGGCGATTTACCGCCCCCGGGTTTTCGCGGATTATTTTTTTCGTCGTCTCTCGCGATGGCTCACCGCCCCGAAACGTTTCAGAAATGCAACGAGTGTTGGGGAGCCGCTTTGTAAAAGTTTATTTCGTTTTAAATGTCCTCGCCGATGTTAAACTTCGCTGCGTTTAACGGGGAGAGGGGGGGCACTACTTTTTGTGTCGCTGCTGCTGTGCGTGCGGAGGGTTACAACAAATCTCGGGGAGGGGGAGGGCGGTGAGTCGGCCGGAGGGCGATTGTAATTCCTAACACGGATAGGTATGTGGATTCGTATTAATTGCATAACGTACCACGGATAGGTATGATGGATGATGTAATTGTATAACGTACCACGGATAGGTATGGTGGATGTAATTGTATAACGCACCACGGGTAGGTATGGTGGATGTAATTGTATAACGCACCACGGATAGGTATGGTGTATGTAATTGTATAACGTACCACGGATAGGCATAAGGGATATTGTATAACGTGCCACGGATAGGCATAATGGATATTGTATAACGTACCACGGATAGGTACGGTGGATATAATTGTATAATGTACCACGATAGGTATGGTAGATGCTGTAATTATATAACGTACCACGGATAGGCATAAGGGATGATGTAATTGTATAACGTACAACGGATAGTCATAAGGGAGGATGTAATTGTAAAACGTACCACGGATAGGAATAAGGGATATTGTATAACGTACCACGGATAGGTATGGTGGATGCAATTATATAACGTACCACTGATAGGTATGGTGGATGCTGTAATTATATAACGTACCACGGATAGGTATGGTGGATGATGTAATTGTATAACGTACCACTGATAGGTATGGTGGATGATGTAATTATATAACGCACCACGGATAGGTATGCGGGATGATGTAATTGTATAACGGAGCTTTGTCTGTGTGTGGTGTGTGTAGTACATAGACACTGCTGCTGCTACTCGCTACTAACAGCACTTGCCCCTACAGCCCTGCTAGAGGCTACCTGGGAGAGCTTTACCTGTGGCTGTGTTTATTAGTAATTTCCGTTGTAAAAATTTACGAAATAATAAAAAGAGAGTGGGAGAGCGATTTTAATTCGTGGCGGTACAAAGTGCGGAAAGAGGAGCGGAGTCAGAGAGACAGAGACACACAGAGAGACACAGAGACACACAGAGAC